CATAAATCAAATACACATCTTTTGATAAAGTTAGTGCGTGCATTTCACATCCAAACATACTGTATGTGGTATGTCTGTGGTGGTTTTTTTTTAAGAATACTGTTTGTTAAATGCATTCTGAAAATAGATACATTGCTTTTTGTCACATTTGAATTTATTCATTGGTTAAAATTGTACTGCTGCAATAACTTTGGGACATTATATTGAATAGAATCAGTGTACTTATTGTACATTTTACTCAAAAGTAAATCCTATTGTATAAGAAGGGAACATTCAAGTAAATGTGCATTGAATTGCAAGCTCACTTCTTTTACAATTTAAAATCCAGTTGCAATCCTTATTAGTCTTGGGCAAAAACAACAAAGGACTTGCTAAAATATGTTTAGGTTAACAGTGCACAATTATTTTAATTAACTGGCAGACCTCTTCTTCTTTTCTCCCTTAATATGTTATACTCTTAAGGGTGCAATTCTCAGTCTTTAAAATTAACCAAAACCCTGCCATTACTTTTTCTTGGACATGTACTTTGCACCGTTAATGGTCTGTTGCTGAATAACAAAACTAGTGTTTTTCACCAAAAAAAAAAAAAAAAAACCTGCTACATTTTGCTTAGGAAAGGAAGTGTGGAAAGACTATTCCATTCAAAGATCCTTCAAAGGCCTTTCTTTCAGGTGGCAGCAGTAATGTCACATATGTATTGCTAATGTGTTCTATAATTGTTGCATGAAATATTTCACAACTAGTTCCTATGCATAAGAATTGAGAAATCCTTGGAGCACTAGATGGCGATATTCCCTTGCTCCAAGGATCACAGAGTTGGGTGTAGGAAAGACATATATCTGCAGGCTTATGTGATACATCCACTGCCTAACAACCTATGCATTGCATATATACCAGTTTTGTCTCACAGCCATGCTAAGTCCAGTTATTGGTTTCCAGCAGTTTCCTTTCTGGGGTTATTAGAAAAATGAAAAAGAACATATATGAAAAATATAACAAATGGCATGTACTAAACTTGTTTACTCAAAGGTGTACAGGTGTAAATACTAACCTGGTTCACACATAATGCCAACTCATGATTTATTTAACCCATGGTTTCTTGCCCTACCCAGGGTTTGTATGGCAGGTAATTGAACAAACTGTGGCTAGCTTTCTCCATCTCTACATTATTTCTTCTTTGTTTGCTTCCACCCTGCAATCAGAATTTCCCTGCAGCACTGCAGAACTAGGATTTAGAGTGGTCATATTTATGTTTTTTTATTAACTACTCTTGCCGTCTGTATCTGCAGTCTGGCAAAAACCAAACAAAAACGTACATTAACAACCCATGGTTTAAACAACTCAGAGTTCACAGCACAACAACAAACCATAAATATTCTTTCTTGGTTTTTATGATTGTAACAATTTTTAGTTCAGATGACTTTACACAACACAACAACCTGGAATTCAACAACCCATACCATGGATTATAATTATTTACAAACTGGGCCACTGAGAAATACATAGACATTTAGAAATATCTAGGTTTTTTACAGCAGAACAAGCACGATTTTGCACAGTGTATTGCTCATTGCTAGTTCAAGCTTTTCTCTAGAGAAGAGAGTCCTTGTACAATTCAATTAGTCACCCCCTTTAAAAAAGAAAAAAGTACCATTCACTTCATGATGCATTATTAGTACTGTCAACTCAAGTATACCACAAATGGGCATTTCAAATTACACCCACAAATGGGTGTAAAAACTGTATTGTCACCACAAAAATCAATATGAAGAAGGAAGTCTGGGAAAAGGTTTTGTTAACAGGCCTGAACAGAAATTACAGAAATCATGGAATTGTGAGTACCAAGAAATAAAGGAAGTGAAGCATGTCTGAAATGTGATAGGCCTACAGTAAAATCCACCTGTTTATAAATGACGATTCTTTGTTTATCAAGTCTAGTGCACAAATCTTGACACTGATACATCACAGTTCTCTGATATTTCCTAGTTTATCTGTCTTCCTTCCTCTTTCAATCTAATTTGGTTCCTTCTTACCATTTGTTTCTATTTAGTAAAACAAAATAAGCATTTATTTATATAAGCATTTGCTTTGAACTTTTTTGTTCCATGAGTGTTTCATAATGCTGACACTGACAGTATTGCCTTGTTCCACCCAGAGGTTCAAATTATCATTACAAATAATGTACCTTACATTTAAATGCCTTCATGTGAACTGGAACTGAACTGGCTGGTTACATGTGGTGAACGTGTTACTGAATCTTGATTCATCTGAACTGGAACTACATTTACCAGAATGTCAGTTGCAAATGAACTAGAACTGAATCAAAAAGATGAATGATCCTCTGCTTCTTTTATTATTATCAATTTGCTCAAAACACATGGATTTCATTTTTATTCCAATCACATTTCTTTTCTTATATACATTTTTGTATTTTGTGCATTTTTGTATTTGTTTTGTATCTTGGACTATTTATTTTGCTGCCCTAGAATCAGCTGCCATTTCCATTCCAGAATGTTCTGAGACTGTGCAATGCTCATGGCCTTCTGGGAAAATAAATTGGCAGTTGCCAGAAGCAGCTGCCAAAACCTGTTCTGTGGCCACTGCTTTCTTCAGAACCCCAACCCCAAATGGCATAGCAAAAATCTTACTTAGTCATAACATTTTTATTCATGTTGCTCACTTTAGGACGAATAGAGGGCAACAAAAATGATCCAGGGTTTGAAAGCACTGCCCTATGAGGAGAGACTGAGAGAAATGGGCATGTTCAGCCCTGAGAAGGGAAGACTGAGGGAGGACATGATATTCCTCTGTAAGTACCTCAAAGGCTGTCACAAAGAGGGAAGTCGAGATCTCTTCTTGCTGATGCCAGAGCATAGGACAGGGATAATCAGTTCAAGTTGCAAGAACCCAGATTCAGGCTGGACATCAGGAAAAGCTTCCTCACTGTCAGAGCAATACAACAGTGGAATCAGCTGCCTAGAGAGGTGGTGGGCTCTCCCACACTAGAGACATTCAGAAAGAAACTGGACAGCCATCTGAGTGGGATGGTGTAACTTGGTATCCTGCAACAGCAGGGGGTTGGACCCAATGGTCTTCATGCCCCCTTCCAACTCTACTATTCCATGATTCTACATGGGCATTTGGTTTAATTTCTTATTTCAAAATGAATGCACATCCCCTAATACACACACCTAAGGAACTGTAACTTCTTGAAATCTTTGAACAGAGTTCAGATTCATTTCCAAAGGATATCTCACTGAACCCTAAGTAGGATGGTGTTTTGGTCCTTCTACCTGCTTTTCCTCATTCCTGCCTATGCACAAGGAATTCTCAGAAAACTGGTTCTTGAGAGAGCACATCACACAGGGAAGCCCAAATCTCTCTCTCCTTCTCTCTTTCATGAATATTACAAGGACTCTCTTCTCTAGAGATAAGCCTAGACTAGCAACTAGCTATTAACTGTTCAAAATCTAGCTTGCTCTGCTGTAAAACAGCTTTAAAAGAGAGAACCATTGGACTAATAATGCAGAATATAAGTTTAATAAATAATATAATAAAATATATCTGTGCAATATGCAGAGAAACAGATTTATATAAATATCATCCAGCATGATTTTAGCTTTATTAGTTTCCTTAATGTAGCGGGGTTGCAGCCTAGGCAAGTCCCCACTACTTCTCCAGACTGTGGCACGTTTGAGTTATGTCCTTATTCTCTCAAAAAACCTTCCTTTCCACACAACTGTACAATTTGTTTATACTTTCACAGATTGCAGAGTAGTGCAAACACTTATACTGAAAGCCTGGGAAGGATTTTGCTTTCTTGGTCTCAGAAAATTTGCATATCCATGATAACAAGGTCTCATGGAAGCTTGTTTGCAGGAATGCAAAATTACATTTCCTAACAGTCCTGTGCAGAGGACTCCCCTTTTAGCAGGCAGGGAATCTCTTCTTTGCCAAAGGCCACTGTTTGTCTGGCAGGAATGAAGAGATGACATATTCTGGCATTTCTCTGCTGTAATCGCAAAGTAGTTTGTTTCAGCTAAAAATTATTCTTGTAGTAGTACAGTGCAGTTCTGTTTAGCACGGCTACAGATGGGCACAGGACTTACTTCATTTATTAATCATTTCATGGGGAATATAACTTTGTTGAGAAGCTTGCACATCCCTTTGTGTACATAGAAACCCCACAGTTTCTGTAACAGCATTTAAGCAACTCTGTTTCCTTTGGGCCATTTGCTACTTCAAATAGACATTTGTGTATATTTGCTGATCCCATTGGCTCAGGAGGTTGAACAATTATACCGCAGTGGGCAAACTAGTCAGTAAATAAACTGTAAGTACTCAAGTCTGCCAAATGCATTTTGTTCCGTTCGTATGTCAAGAGAAAACCAAATCTAATTACTCATTGTATACATTTCCTCTCAGGGCCTCTATCGGGCCTAGACGTCAGGGACAATTCCACACCCAGATTTCTGATGTCTAATTTTGCTGCCTTCCTTTTCACTTACTATTGTGGAAACATTTCACACATCCTTTACAGCAGGGGTCTCAAGCTCAACTTACCTGGGGGCCGCTGGAAGTAGAGTCTGGGTGAAGCTGGGCCGCACCAAGTATTCTACCACCGCGGGGGTGGTGGACCGCTCATCCCGCGGCTGGCCCGGGCGCCGCTGGCGCTTTGAAGGCCGCAGGGCCCCTCCCCCGTGCCCCGCCCGTCCCGGCAATTGGCCCGCGAGTTTGAGACGCCTGCTTTACAGGAACCGGAGGATCACCACTCCCTGAGTTACCTGGTGTCTGTCAAGATCATTTGAACTGCCAAGTTCCATGAAGAATGTAATATAATGGACACCTCTTGAACAGAAAAGATACATCCCTCAAATGGAGTTTACTCATTGGCAAAGCCGCCTTTACATGTATGGCAATTTAAAAGTGGCAGGATTCCATGATGGAACATTTAAAAATGGAAGCCAAGTACTATAATCATGTTCCTGTTTGGTGCTCACCAAGACAGTTGATCTTTCAGGTCTAGATGCATCCAGGGCTTCTTCTAGACTTCCATGGATGAGTTCCTGTTCAAGAAGAGGGCAAAGATGGAGGAATCTGTCAGTGTTGCATTTTTTTAGGTCTTCATTTTTCCAAACTCATTCCATTTCAAACTTCAGGAATTTCTCCAGCCTTAAGTTTCATTCACCAAAACACTTTTTAAAAAGATTTCATTAAAATTCATAAGCACTTTGATGCATGTTTCTCCTATTATAGTTCATGTATTTTGTAGACATTTTTGTGTAATACAAATTATTTACCAGCATTTCTCCTAATACAATGCATTTTAACATTATTTCTCCTAGTGTACTGCCCCTACAGAAGTTGCTTCAGCCCCCTGATCGTTTTAGTTGTCCTTTCCTGCAATTTTTCAACTCTAAAATATGCCTTCGTAGGTGTGGTGATCCACATTGTACACATTATTTTAGGTGCAGTTGCATAATGCTTTGTTTAAAAGCACTGTGAAATTGGCAGTTTTATTTTCAATACCTTTCCTACTTATCCCTAACTTAGAATTTGCCTTTTTCATAGCAGCTGCACACTGGGTCAACAGTTTCATCAAGCTGTCCACCGCAACCCCAAGATCCCTTTCTTGGTCAGTCACCTCCAGCTCTATACTAATTCTAAACTCCATGCAGAAAAACTGAATGGTTGGGCCAGACTTTTGTCTTCTGTGCAAAATCATTTGCATAATTCATGGTGAGAACCATAAATCCAAAAGGCATAATATAAAGTATAATTCATTTTGTTTTATTTGATTTTAAAACAACAGCATTGCATAAATTCTGTTTTGCAGACTTCCAACACTCCGATACTAACATGAAATCTATGTAATATTTTTGGCCGTCAGCTCATGGTGATTCAGAAAAACTAGAAGCTTTTAGTAAAAACCTTTTAGTAGAAGTATATATTATATTCCCCTTAGAAGCTCCTAAGAAGCAGTCTGTTTAGCTGCTTGTGGCTAGTTACTGTCTTGTGAATTCCCTTCTTCTATATGCTGTTTAAAGTCAAAAGTAGCTAAAATAATCAAACTCCGGGTACCTGCATGTTTCTTTTAAAAAAAAAAAAATTCTCCCCTATTCCTATTATATGAGGTTCACTTACTTTGTGAAGGATTGTTATCAGTGGACCATTCACAACAGGATAAACAGAATGATGTTTTAGAAACTCCCCTAGCTACAGCAGAACCTTTGTTTGATCTGTCATTTCTATTGCATGATAAGGAAAAAATGATCAATGGGACTGAAGTAGGCTGAGGAAAAAGATAGCATGGTTTGTTTGATCATGGCCACATTCTAAGAAAGACACAGAAAATGCTGTTCCTTTGCCTCCTTGTTTTGGTAGGAGACATACCTGGTAAGAAAATGGTTTTATTCCTATATTTTATCTGAAGCCCTGCATTAATAACTGCTCTCAGAATAGTTTCAGTTTTCTGGTAATCAATAGACTTGCCTTTCCTGAGCCTTGTATCCACCAGAACTTTTTATTTTGAAGTAATAGAGTATATTCAAGATCTCTTAACCATGACTAATTTCTAACTGATCCTGAATATGCACTGGTGCTTAAGAACATAAAATAACTGCCTTGTTCAGTCAGGTCAAGGTCATTGTAATCCAGCATTCTGTCCAGAAATCCTGGTAAGAAGTCAGTGTTAGGTGGTCCACAATGTATTTGTCAATGGACCATCAAGGACTGCATAATAAGCAATCTACCAGCTATCCACTTGATCAAATCAATTTATGTGTTATTGTTTGTATGTTTTTATAAGTTTAAAACCAATGAAAAATATTTTTTTAAATAAAGGAAAAGAACCACAAGCTACTTTCTGCTCACCCTTGATCTGACAGGTACTTTATGTGGTTCTGCTTTGGGCTTGTAATGCACAGATATGAGGAATAAACAGCCAGATAGCACAAGCTATGACTACAGGATATGAGCTGTGGGTAATGGGCAGCCCATGATGTTGTCTGTTGAAAATATGAGTCACGGAACACTCCACATTTTTCTTTTGAAAAAGAAAGCTAACAAAAGCCTGTGTCAAAAAACTTGGGAGCTGGCTGACATAGTTGTGCTCACTGCTTTAATATTTGAGCTGGGAAGAGGGCTATTGATATTTTTTGTTTGTTAGTTTGTTACTAATGTTGTGCTAGAGGTTTACTGAAAAATTCCTTAAGAGTATCAACATTTTAAGTTGAAAGTACATAGTCCAGCTAAACTACCTGCTGCTTCGTGAAAGCTTATGGGGCATCCAGGTGAATTCTTATTCCTACTGAACCGAAATATCAAAAGCAGAATAATAGCAGCAGAGGGGAAGAGGGAGCTAATGTGGCAACAAAATATGCGTTCCCCCAAAGTCCCATGAACACCATTGCTACCCACCAATCACAATGCCACTGCTAAGATCTCTCTGCATTAGCCATGCATGGAAACCTCCAGTGCAGATATATAGCAAAGGGCAAGAACACCATGACTACATATATTAACCCATTTTATACCCCCCTCGTGCACATGGCAAATCTGTACAGGAAGAAAAAGCACAAAGTACCTGCTCCAGCACAGCCATAGGCAGCAACTGATTGCCTGCACCAGAGTTTAACCAGATGGATTTTTCCATGCTAGGAAAAAAAGACAGAAAAAGTGGTAAGAAAGTGTGGGAGGGTTTTGAGTACCAGAGAACCTCTTCTTCAACCCTGTAAAATTCCTCGATCAAGGCAGATTGATCGGAGGACAAATCTTATGAGGCAGCAGTGGAGACAATTTTCTTGCCTGGCTTCCTGACTCATGGGCTCTCCAAGTTTCCAGCAGTGATCTATCCATAAACTATGGCCAAAAGATAAGCATAAATGTGAAACCAGATTGCTTAATGGTTGACATAACCATTCTGCATTCACTCCACTCATGCCTGGACTTGCTAAACAGTTTAACTGTAACATAATGGTTTCACTGATGCCCTTTTGCCCATACTAGGATTCTTCTCTCTAACCCTTATACAGCAGCAGCCATTTGGTCTCAGCTTATGAAAAAACAAAAAACCCTCTCATACTAATTGCTTCTTTGTCTTGCTAAGGCAATATTTAAGAGCCCTAAACATCACAGAAACACAGAAACAGAGCGAGTCAGAAGGGACCTCCTGGGTCATCTAGTCTGACCCCCAACTCCAAATTGCTCCGCTCATGACATGCCTACCATGTGCATAAAGAGTGGGGAAGCAGAGTTTTTCTATTTATTGGCAAGACACTGACAATACGGAAGTATATTTGGCTGATCAATTTGCAACCTGAAATAGTACCTGTTAATGTATATATTTTAATTCTCCATAATCTGCAGAGGGAAGAACACTGAGTTTCTCTGGCTTACCTGGTACAGCCAATGTTACGGAAATGTCTTCAGCTGGTACTGTGGTATATACTTTCAGGATCAATTTAACACCAAATTTATTACCAAATATCACAGTGGCACCAGGATATCCTTTGATAATAAATTCAAACCCACTCACAAAAGCATTCCAGATCAACTCCGAAGCTTCACATGTGTACAAGGCAAGTCTTACTTGAGACATAAAAACTGTGGCTTGTCAAGATGGATGCTGCTAGAAAATACTGTTAATATCTGGAAGTTGTTCCTGCTTGGTTCTTCACACAAAATAGGCTGTAGTTGCAACTGGATAACTTTGAGTGGATAATTCCCACGGGATGTTCTTTTTTCACCTCTCAGGAAAACATATACTCTAAAATTAAGCTCTGATGATGTCCAAAATGTGCACAACTTGGTAAAAGGAAACTTTTTTTAAAATGCATTCATTCATCTTCATAACTGATATGTTAATAAATTGGGCTGCATCAATTTAGATGCCTGTGGGTCCCAGTGAAATTAGTGTCAACAATTAGTTTTGAGGGCAAGAGCAATGTAATAGTACCAGGCAAATTCTGCCTGATTCAAATCTTCACTCAGTCATGGAGTTCAGTTGAATTTGTACCTCTTCCTATCATTCAGCCTAACATACCTCACATGGCTGTTGTGAGAATAAAATGGGGCAGGGAGAGAACACTGGATACCACACTGAGTTTCTGGGGGAAAAGGTGGGATACAAAATTCAGAGCTGTGGTAATTAACATGTCTGATGGATTTCAGTGGAAACTGGATGCAACCAACTTCCTCTAGATTCAACTCAATGTTTGATAGTAACCAATTCTTTTTTAAATTTCAGGTTGTTACCACTGGGAGCCCCATGCTAGATTATGAAACCATGCCCCACAGATTTGAATTGCAGATCCTTGTTTTTGATTCAGCTGGGGCAAGAGACTTACAAATCCTGACTGTTCAAGTGCTTGATGTAAATGAACCTCCCATGTTTCAAGGCAATGCAGCAACTCAGAGTAAGAAGTTGGCTTGGAATGGAATGAGTATTGAGCAGAGTTGCAATATTAAAGAGGGGGGAAAACCTTATCACACAGCAAACCCCAGTATTTGATCTGTGTGCAGCTCCTGGTCAGAAGGCAAGCTCATAGCAGTGCATGCAGAAAGACAAAAGCTACCCTTCTCTGAAACTATGCAATTCAGCTCTGCATTAGTAGCTATTAGCCTTTTTCCACATGGTCACTGGATACGCTGAATTTATTCATCTTATTTATGATGTTTCCATACCACACAATCACCAAATTTCTCTTGGTAGTTTCAGTAATCAACCAAACATGCATATCATGATGTCAGAAACACAATAAAACCAGCAACAACTTAAATCAAAATTAAATCAATGACAGGCAACAAATCTTGCACACCATAGGAAGGGTTGTGGCTCATGCAACATTATTTGTATCTGATAGTTTAACCTAGTAAAGTCTTTTAGAGTCTATTTTGATGATGGGCAATATAAGAGCACCTTTATAGTGTTAGGCATGTCTACTTAGAAGTAAGCCCCACTGATTTCAACAGGACTTACTCACAGGTAAGTGGATATAGAATTGCAGTCCTACTGATTTACTAAATGGAGTGTAGGCTCCCTGAGTGAATATCAGTGCTCTGCATCACACTTACTGGCTCCCTGGTACAAAAGTTTCCCTCAACATGAGAGGGCTGGGAGGGGTCACATGAAGTCCAGGGCAAAACAATACTCCAGGACTCACTGCATCCAGAGAGCCAGTGTAGTGTAGAGGTTAAGAGCACAGGACTTGACCTCAGGCAAACTGGTTTCTAGTCCCTACTCAGTCATGGAGCCCGCTGGGTGACTTTGGACAAGATACAAACTCTCAGCCCAACCTACCTCAAAGGGTTGTTGTTGTGGGGATAAAATTGAGAGCAGGAGGAAGAGAATGATGTAAGCCACTCTGAGTTCTCTGAAAGAAAGAAGGTAGGATATAAATCTAATTAAAATCTGTGATCCTCTTCACTGCAGCAATACTTGAACATAAGTACTGCAGGTTGGGATGATACACACACTTGCCAAGGAGTAATATGTATGTGTGCATGTGTGTGGGGAGCAGTGGAACAGGGAGGGTCAGAGTGGAAGGGATGTGATTTTATCAGCCCCATAATGTCAACTGAGAAAATTAATTAAGTTGCCTTTGGCATCCCTGCTGTCAGTCCACAGGCTGTGTGAACTTTCCTGAGGGCAGAGCCAATTCCATTTGGTGGGGAAGGGAGGAAGGGCATTCCTGGTATGGGCAAGCTCCTGGTATGGGCAAGAACTAACTCCAAAGTTGGAGGATCTTAACCTGATAGATGCCTCTTGCTAACAACCTTGATATTACTCCCTCTGTATCACAAAGCCAGTCCTGACTGACCAGGTTTAACATAAAGGTTTGGGAAGCCTCTGCTTATGATCTGGTGGGAAGGGAAGAGGTTGGAAAGAGGTAACAGTTCACAGCAATATGCTTCCTTAAATTAATGCACACCATATTTCTATCTGCACAGCTGTCACAATCTATATTTTGGAAAACACACCAGCTGGACCTATTTACACACTTACTGTAACTGATCCTGAAAAAACAACACCTGGAACAATCAGTGTAAGTTTGGTTTAACAAATGCTTTAGCAGCTACAAAATCTATTTAAAACTTTATCGACAGAATTCAGTAATCAGAAATGCTCTTTAAAACCCACCCAAACAGAGTATATATGTGGTGAAACATCTGACACCAGTGGGCTAATCTGGTATAATGGCAACATGCTTGGAGAACAAAACTGATAGCACTAGAATGTTCACATTTTTGGGGGGTGGGGGGGTTGTTGGAATTAAAATCTCCACACAGACCTTGTGAACAGAGGAACTGTGTTGAATAAAAACAACTTTATTTTAAACAATCTTGTTTATTCTCCAAACAACTCTCAATCTTGTGATATTAGGTTCTGGCCGTATATTTAGGATATTTTGTTCCTGATTATACTGCCCATACAGGTGAGGTGCAGGGACAAGCACTAAAGCTTGTGTACAGCTGTGAATTCAAGCAGGAAAGAAAATGCTCTTTATGTAGCAGTTGAATCTCAAATCTGTAACAAAACTGGAAATAAATTTAGTGAATTAATTGCCAATTAATGGCCCTGTGTAGGGAAAAAAAAAGATAACTATGATATCATTCTGGTATCATATTTTCCATTATTTCCAATACTGAAGTCCTTCAAACTTTTAACATGAGAAAAAAACTGCACAAAAGCAAAAACCCCACAAAATAGTTGGTGGTTTGTGTGAAGGGATGTGGACTACCTATGAAGCACCAGGTGGCTGAACTGGGCCTTGGGATGAGATTGCCCATCACTAGTTACTCCTGGGGCTATAACTAGTGCTGAAACACAAACTGCATTAACCACTTGTGTTGTCCTTAAACACACTGTACTAACAAACACTTTCATCATAATCCAAGTTTTATCATTTGTTCCAGTTTTCATTGACTCCTGCTTCAGTGTTCCATATTTCTGAAACTGGAACCATTTCTTCTGAGAAGGCATTTGATTATGAGAAAGATCCACATAAGTAAGTGCCTATTTATGGTGAGTTCCATATATCAGGAAGCACAGAGCTGATACTTTAAATTATTTGTTGTCAGTGGGGTATTACGTATAAACTTCAAAATAATAATTAAGTTGTGTCTTGGTTTTACAGCTATATATTAAACGTTGTTGCAAGAGACCACAGTGGTCTGAATACTAGTAGGACTGTGATAGTCAGCATCATAAACACCAATGATGAACCACCTTACTTTACCATGTAAGTAAGCAATTCTAGTTGCGTCAAAACACTTCTTTCTAAAGCAAGGGTGGCTAGACTTGCTTAATGAAAGAGCCACATATGGTAAATGTCAGACTTCCACTTCTTACACTTTGATGATGCCATCCTCCTTCACAAGACTTCGCAGGCACTTCTGAACGAATTGAAGTGCTTTGTAATGGTAATGGTAACCGAAGAGGCTTGACTCGTTCTCCGCAGGACTCTTGCGCGTGCTGCCTGGGCCGTGGTTTGAGGCTCCGAGTAGAAGTGAGATGATTGAAGCGTGGCTGTGATTGGTTATCACAGCAGGAGAGTCGCACGTCTTTCCCTGGAGGGCTTTTGCGCTCACCGGCTCAGTTGCTAGTCGAGCCTTGATTGGCTGAGGCTCAGAGTTGAGGTCACGTGATTGAAGCA